ATCAAAGGCCTTTCGAAGATCAATAAAGCAGGCATACAATTTATTGCCCTTTTTATTGTTATGGTAAATATATTTGTTGATAAGCGTTTCTAAGATGAAAATGTTGTCTGTCGTCCTACATTCACGCCTAAATCCAAATTGGTTATTTGAAAGAATGTTGTTTTTGTTCTAAGAAAGAAGTCAACCTATTATTCAGAATACTATTGAATAATTTTCCCAGACAGCTAGAGATAGCTATTCCCCTGTAATTTGACGGGGAGCACTTAGATCCTGATTTATGTATGGGTACTAGAAGGCTCGTACTTCAAGACTGAGGGTAGGTATTTGTGTTATATATAATATTGAAAAGCTTATGTAATGCATCTACAAAATAATGTTGGCCATATTTTAACATTTCGTTACAAATTTCATCCTCGGCAGTGGATTTATTATTTTTAAGTAAGTTAATGGCTTTCCTAATTTCATTTTTAACAATTGGCGAGTCTAACACTGTGTTGTACTCGGCTTTCTCTTCTTCTTTTTCCAGATCAGTGTTAATAAGGGATGATAACATGTTCATTGACAAACTACGTGCACAATCCCTCAACGGTGTGGAGGGACTGTGCTACGTGTTACGTTTTGCCACAGTCCCTCTGGTGTCAGCAAAATTTGTCCCTCAAAATGCAGGAAATTAATAGCGTTTTAGAGAGTCTAGATCTCAAAAATTTTAAGGGGAAGCAATTAGCCCCTGACCGCCCAACCCCCTAAAAAGGTCGCGCCGTCGGCGCGAGGTTGGTTAGAAGATCTCGCCCCCTCGTGCAAAGAAGTGCAATACGGGTGGCATTTCACGTTATTTTGTTTAGAAGTGGGTGGTCATTTATCAATGGTTTGGTTTAGAAGTGTGTGGCATTTATTTACTGTTTCACAGGTTCAAAGCCAAATACCGGAAAAGACTGCCAGTGAATAAAATGCATCGCCCGAATGCGCTCACTGGTTGCGAAAGTTGTGAGCTGGGGTTTTTTTTCGCTGAAAACACTTGTGTTTAGAAGTGGGTATATAAATAGAAAAAAAATGGTTTAGAAGTGAGTATGGTTTACGAGAGGTGGGCTTCACACCCTTACTTAATGTGGAAGTAGCCCCCCTCCGGAGGGACTGTCGAGAGACTGTGCATGCATACATCACGAGATGTACAATTATACAGATATGTACATA